CATCTCCTCATCTGGCTGGCATCTAAGCAGTAGAGCAGGAATGCAAAGGTAAGTGGGAGCCAGACTGTGAACACTGACTGCTCCATAATTACAAAGAGCTCCATCCTCTAGGTAGAAGGGGAAAATAAAAGTTGAGCCAAAAACCACAGAATATGACCCATTGGTAAGGAAGCCCCAATGGTGGGCTGAAAGCAAAGAGATATCTGGTGCAACTTATCAGCCAGAGATGATTGCATCTAAATTAAGAGAAAAAAGAATTAAGAGGATGGGAAAGTTTAAGGGGCCAGACTGAGAGGACTAGAAGTGAGGCAGTACAGTCATTACCAGGGGTGGGAGGCCCAACACAACCTCACTGATTTGGGGCATCATTCATCACCCAGTATTAGTTGCAGTAGCTGTGGTGTGTGCCACAGTCTGTGGACTCCAGTTCTGGTCAGTTAAAATGGAACCACATGGTCACTTTTTCGTGACTGTGGAAATAAGGACTGGTTCACATTTGACCAGTAGGTGAAAACAAACAAAACCAAAAGCCAGCCATCATAAAAGCAGTCCCCAAGCAGCCTAATCCCCACAGTACTGCATCCGAGTCTGGGCTACACTAAGGCTGGATCTTTCCTCAAGGCGGACAAGAGCAGGGAGCCAGAGTCAGGAGTAAAATCTGGTGATGTGCCCACAGGGACAAGCATGTGTGTGGCAGTGGGGTGAGGGTGGAAGAAAGGTAGTTCTAAGACCATCACTGTAGTACATATGCTCACGTTCTGTGAGGGCACAAGATGGACATGCAAAGATGATCAATGCGGATAACCATCTCAGTTTGTGGTCCGTCAGAGCTTAGGAATCATCAGTCAACCTGGCCTAGCTGTAAATGTCGGGGAATGCCACAGAGCCTCTCATCAGAACTTCCATTAGCTATGAAACAGGGTGGTGGTCCTGTCTTTACTCCTGCCAGCTCACCTGTCTTCCAGGGTCCAGGGAGGTGCTCATAAAAGCATAAAAGTAGAAAAGCCTGGAAAGTTCCAGGGCATGGGGCAGGTAGATACAGAAATTTGCTTACATCCAGGTCCTAATGGGTGTTTACCACACATGGACTACTGTCACAGAGAGGATGCTGGGCTATAGTCTTTATAAGGTTCTTCTCACATATCTTTGTTCAAAATTCTAGTCTGAGGCTTGAAAATTTCTGTTGCTTCAGAGTTGCCAACAGAAGATTTGGGAGGCAATTCCCTTCCTTCTAGGAAAGATCAGCCATTGAACTCTTCAGGGAGTCTAATGACTGACTAATCGAGCCATTCATTTATCCACCCATGGGGCTGGCCAACCAATAGGTACTATGCCAGGCCTAGTAGGGTGGGTTGTGTACCTGGTCAAGGAACAAACACTGCCCCTATCCTAAGGGTTGTACAGGGCCTTAAGGATGAAGCGAAGGAAATGGGATGACAGGCAACAGAGAACCACTGAAGAGCTTTGTCTGTCTTCTTCCCTCACAGACCTGTCCACAGCTGTCTTGGCTATATGCTAACATTCTTGACAATTCTGCACACAAGAAATTTGAAGTTTATTCTTTAATGTAAAATTCTTTGATTAAATACCTGATTATCTTAACATACTTTCAACCAGTGTCTTCTCTAAGACTGAAGTGACAAAGAATAAAGGTCACCAATGTCTCATGGAAGATGGCTTTGGAAACTTTAAAGACTTTCTGGTTCAGCCCCCCTCTCCTTGATTTATAAATGGGAAAACACAGGCCTAGAATAGAACGAGTAGAAGAGAGCAAGGTCACATGGGAAATGGGTGAGCCTAGCCCAGGGTCTTATTTATCTCCTGTCTCCACCAGTGTGGGGCAGGGGACTGGCAGAGGTAGTGAGCTGCCCAAGTGTAGGCTGTCCAGGAAAAAGAAGTGAGAGGCCAGAAGCACCCAAAGGATTAGCCTTTGGAGACAAAGCATTCTCATACAGATCCATGTCAGATTGGCTCCTCCCGAAGGAGGCAGACAGGCAGGGATTACTTTCTAAAACAGCCCAGTATAAGCCAGTGGCAGGGGCCACAGAACAGAGGGAATGACACTATGGAGGCCTTGCCTTGAGATGAATGCTTAGGTAGGTCTTATAGTTTCTATTTTAGAATGAAAAAACTGAGGCTCAGGGAGGTGTAGCCACAAAGGCAGAGCATAAGGCCTGGGGCTCCTTGAAGCCTCACATCAGAGTTCTCTGGTCTACCTGGTGGCCAGTGAGTGAGTGCCTTTCCCATTATCCCAAAGGAAGATGGTCTTCTATCTGAAACCTTCAGGTGCTGCTTGGCAAGCCTCTCCCCTGCTCCTTGAGCCTGATCTACAATCAAAATTGCTCTCAATACACTCAGTTCTGCCTGCCGAAGTCCAGCAGACCAAACTCGTCCTTCAGCCTACCCTTCACCTGCCCTTCCCTCCCCACCATGGCTGTGCCTTAGATCTTCTCATTCCCAGGGATCTAGACGGGGCAGTGGCCTTCTTGACAGCTCTGATACTTCCACTGCTCCTTAAATGTTGCTTGACTGGCTTGCCTTCCATCTACCTTCAGTTCCTTACTGCGATGATTCCCATTCAGTTGGAAACTAGAGTTCTTAGGAATGGGTTTGGGAGCCTGCCACCAGCAGTTTAGCCATGGAACCTCCCTCCTTAATATCATCCAATGGTTAGTGCTCTAGCTTTAAACACCCTGATCTCTTTTTCCCCAAAAGCCTTCTGGGTTCTGATCCTAAGGCAGCCAGATACTGATGGTCCTTCATTTTACTTTCAGCCCAGTCTCTTTAATCTGTAAGCACAGAGATGCTTGATTACATGGTAAGAAGCAACATCTCATTTATCACTTCACTGCTCAAACATTCAGCCTTGGTCTTAGGGTCTCAGCCTAAATGTCAATCCTAACCAGGCCTGCATCAGATCTCTCCAGAGATCTGTAGCACCTGCCAGTCCCTAGTCATGTATTTCTGGGATTATTTGCTCAATGTTATCCCCTTTCTCATTAGCCCAGAGGACTCCCTGATGGCAAAGACCATCCACTGTAGTCCCAAGGCCTAGTCCTGCATGAGGTTCTCACAAGCAGGAGGATCCCTTATGGGACATGCCCTTTAGGAATTTGGTCACTAACGAAGAGAAAGTGTGCCTTTCAGTACTGATAACAGCAGTACCATTCCATGGGAAGCTGGTAAGTGTTCTAGGCAAGGGATCTCCAGGGAGAACAAAGAAATCCAGGAAAGCTTCCTGACACAGAGGCATATCTGGGCTCACATGGTACACTGACAGCAAAGCGTAAAGCACATGCAGGCTGTCCCAAAGTACCCTGCCACCTACTCAGAGCTCAGCTACCTTCTTTAAGTGGGTGCAGGAGGACCCTAAGATCTTGAGAGAAAGAACTCCCAGGATATCAGGGCTGGGAAAACTTTTAGATCATATTTTACCTGTAAGGAAACTGAGCCTTAGAGCAAGGCATCTTTCTGGAGGCTGGTTACTAGGCACCACATGAGGAGTCACGGTGAACAATGGAAAGGTAGCCTATGATTTTTCTAAGGCCTGGTGACCCTACTTTTGCAGAAGAGGTATCTTCTTTTTGTTTTCCTGACAGGCATTTCAAGAAGAGGGGTGGGTGCTAGGCAAGGTGGGAAGCACTGCCAGACAGATAGAATGCTGATTTGGCAGGCACCTTGGGTGGGTTACAGGCTCCCTGTTGAAAGGGACACAAATCTTTCAGAGGGGGGTTTGTATATGACTCTCAAAGTAGGCTGACCTAAAACAGAAAGCTGCTTTCAAAGGGATGGCAAAATAAGCAATAATCTTGGCTTCGTTTATATCCAGGTGCCTCCACAGGAGAGTAGGGACACAAAAGCCTTTGTTTGTTTAGTTTGTTTTTGGAATTTGCCAATTGTCTATTTTGTTAAGTCTTCCCACTAGGATAGTTATCATGAGGTCCTGGGGAGTGAGGCCTGGGTCTTGCCCTGAAATCCCCAGCAAGCTTGGTACAGGGGCTCAGTGTTTGTTGAACAAACCATCCTCTCCATATGTACAACTCAGCTTGTTCAGCCTCTGCAAAACCACGATACAAATCCAGGCACCCAGAAAAGAATACAGAGAAAAACACCAAAGAATCAGGTAGAAAAAATACCCATCAGATAAAAATAAAAGTTTGATTCTTTAAAAGCACCTCTAAAACAGACAAATCTTTAGTTAAGTTTTAATCAAGAGAAAGCCAGATCAGCAATGCCAGGAATGAAAGAAGTGATGATGGGCAATTAGAAAGAGCAAGAGAAAACTGCATACAATTTTACAGTAATGAATTAAAGTCTAAGTAAGACAGGTGATCTCCCATGAACTTACCAAAACCCTTTCACGATTGTTCTCTCAGGAACTCCACACAACAGCCCTGTGCCTTGGCAGGCAGTGCTCCTAGTCTGTCTTCTGGAGGGAGGAAAGATTCAGAGGCAGATGCCCTGCACAGGCTTTCCTGCCATCTTACCAGGCATGGCCATGGAAGCATGAGCACACCTATGACATGGAACCAAACTACTCTTGTGCTTCTAGCCAATGCTTGAAGTCTGCTGGGTGGACAGCCAGTCTTATTTATTTTTCCACTTAAAATGCCATGAGGGGTTTTACTTTATTTTTACTTCAAAAACAGCACCATAAAAATCCTTGATGATTAGAGCCCCAGCTGTCTTAAGTTGTTTGTCAAGGGATCGGTTACTTAAATCTCCTATGGGGGAAACAATTTCAGGCGGGAAGCCATAGGAGTTGAGAAACCAAAGTCTCATCTCTGAAAACTTTCAGACTCCCTCCTGTTCACGGCCTAGCCTGGCCTGCTCCCCCTCCCCCAATCCCACCATCTGCTCTCCAGAGAGCAGATCAAATTTTCAGGCTAAGGTACTCTGGCGCCAAGAACTTGGCCCCTCTATGCTACTCCCTGCCTCCCACCAACTCAGAAATCCAACACCAAGACCCAAATGGACTGCAGCCACATGAGACCACAAAGTAAAGTTTATAAAGCTTTATTAAACATTTCAAACAGCTGTGCAACGAACACACCAGAAATGAAAGTTCTAGAACAGCAGTCCAAATGTTTCACAAGCATGGCCTCACAGTCCCATTCCCTAGATGGACTACCTCCAGTTCTGTCCTCTGCCTGGCCCACTTCCCTCACTCCTCAGACAAGAGAGAGGGATGGCTCCAACTGGCAAGACAACCATGCTGATCCCTGGTGGGCAGGGGCCAGGAGAAAGTCTCATTTGCCAACATTTGTTATTGAAGCGCAGAGAAAGAAAAAAGCAAGTGACAGTCACAAAGTCTTCCTGTGTATTCTTCGTAAGGTACAGTCTATATGCCCAGGAACGAAGAAGCTCCTGGCAGGAGGACGATGACCACTGCTCCCCTGTGTCTTGTCTGAACCATCTCGGAGTTCACTGTGCTGGTCACTCTGCAAGCCCCATGCTAAATAAAACTGCAGTGGTACCTACTACAACTAGCTACTAGTAGACCTCAAATCAGAACACGTTCGTAAAGCTTCTTCAAAAAGAATACACACATGTACTTGTACACACGCATACACACAAACACACATACAGGGCACACCAAAAAGTATCCAAACACCTATCGGGGGAGCGTGGATGCTATGAGCACACAAGTACTTTTCCATTCACACAGCTGGGGACTGCTGGATCTGTGTGAACACACCACCCCCATCCTGCAGAGCATGCACAGGAGACAAAAGGAGGCCCCCCCTCTGGATGGCTGAGAAAGGCAGGAGGAAGGGCAAAGGAAACGAGGCTGGGCTAGAACGCATGAGCCCAGACACCCAGGTCAAAGAGCAACATCTATCTGTTGCTTCTTGCTTAAAATGAAACGGAGAAAATACTGGAGGTTCATGGATAACAGTCAAGACATATTTCTGTCTAGCCTGCCAACAGGGAAAGAAGGATGAAAAAGCGAGGCTCTCGGGCGTCAGCAATCTCTTGAAATTCGAGATAAGTGCAAAAAACAAGCCCTGTCTTAGACAGGTACTCCCCAAAAAAGGAAATGGGTAGAGGAAACTAAAGGGAAGCAAGGAAAGGGACTGAGGAGTCAGTGACATTATGGGAAGGAAGGAGACCCTGATAAGGAGGGTCACATAAGTGACAATAAATCTGCCCAGGTTACACCAGGGTGGTTGACCAGGATGGGTGTGGACTCCTCGCAGTAATGAGGCGAGGGGGGTGGCCATCCCGCCGGCCAGGACCCAGATGGGACAGAACACACACAACCACAAGACCACCCACAACTATAGGACTCTACAATAAAAGCACCAGCCAGTGCCATTATTCACATTATAAGGATAAAACATCACAGGCCAAAAAGGCTCCGTCAGGAATGTGGCACCCGCAGGCTGCGGGATTTGAAACTCCAATGCTTTATGACCTATGTCAATGCCTCCCCTCCCGTCTTCTGCTTCCTTGGAAAGCTAAGAGGGCAGCTGTTAGGTGCCCACCACGCCAGGGTCGTGTGCGGATTCCGGAAGCGGGGAATCGGAGCAGTGGTACAGGAAACAGTTTCCCCAGCAGCTATAGCAGATGAGGAACAGGGCTGCCAGGAAAACCAAGGCACAAATCGTGCAAGGCTTCCGCTCCAGGAGGAAGCTGAGCAGGTAGAAGCCCATGAACATGGAGTGGCTGAACCACAGGGCGGGGTTGAGGGGCTTGGGGATGAGGAGGACGGGCAGCAGCCACTGGAGGCAATACATGATCTCTGCCGGGCAGGGCCTTCGTCAAGGCTGCCAGGCACTGCTGCAGGAACCGACCTAATGGGAGCCAGCGGGTGCAGGCGGCTGCCCTCCGCTTTCTTCAACCCTCTCTCCAGGAGCTGAGCCGCTGTGCTCTCTGGCTGTCAGCCTGGGATCACCAAGGCAGCAGGGATCCTGAAGAGAAAAGTCAACACAACAGACAGACAGAACAGACAGACAGACAAAACCAAAAAAAAACAAAAAACAAAAAACAAAAAACAAAAAACAAAACAAAACAGAAAAAAAACAGGAACAGAATGTATGCTTATTTGGGGAAATGGATCATGGTTAACAACAGCAAATGTGAATGCCCTCTCCTCCCTACCCACCCATGGGAAGACTATTCCTCTCCAGGTCACCAATTAGGGAAGCCTCCTGAGGGTGTCTGCCCTGGGCTTCTATTGGGGGCTCTCAGGGAGGGCTTTGTGGCGGGTCTGCACAGTGGACTGGCTTTGCCTGGGCTCTGCCCAGCAGAGATCATGTATCGCCTCCTGGGGCTGCAGCCCGTCCTCAAAGGGCCCAGACCTCACAATGCCGCCCTGTGGTTGCCACAGGACACCAAGGGCTTCCTGCTGTGCCCCCGTGTGGTAAGGAAGGGTTCTGTATCTAGTTTCTCACTGAGCAGTAGGTGCGGTACTGAAAGGAGTGACAAGTTAAAGCAGTCTTTGCTGCACTGCTGGGCTGGAAATGACAGGCAATGGATCCTGGCAAGCTCTGGGACAGCACAGTAGAAGTGGCAATAAATATTTTGTTTTAAGATGGGAGCCTGGACCAAACTTGCCTTTATCAAATAGCCTCATATCATTTTGCCAAAACCAGCCAACTTCTTTAAAAGTCAATGTAGAAAAAAAAAAATCGCTTTGCTACTTTGACCAAACTGAACTCACTTGGATCATTACACCTCCATCTGCTGCTGGCATTGTATAAAACCCTGACCTCTATGAGCTTTTAATCAAAATTAATTTCTTATCCACATAGGGGCAAATGCCAGTTTGTCTCTGTGCCAGGTAGCTTGCTGCAGAAAGGTGCTTTCCGCTAGTCACTGGTACACTGGGGCCCTGCTGGCTGACCACCTTTTGGTCTTCACACTGGCAGAGCCCACACTCCGGGAGGAATCCACAGGACGAGCTCTCAGAGAGGGACCCAAGAGATGCTTGGAGAGGGACCTGCAAACCTGTGCTCTGTGCTCCGCTAGGGATTTGCAAGACGGGTGTGCTCAGAAGGGCTGGCTTCACCTTGATACCAAACTATGCCAGTCATAACCTTTGACGGCCGTAGTGGGTAAAACCCAGGTCCGTACTCCGGCTACCTGGCGCAAACCGTACAAAGAACCATGCTGGCTGAGGCAGGCCCACCACTGCCTGGGGGAGGGGAGCGGAAGACAGAGGTGGACATGAAGTGTCCACAGAAAACTACCCCCGAACACGTTCTGACCACTTGTTGGTAGAGCTCATTCCTTCAGCACACATAAAGGTTGCCAATCTTTCCGCATCCCTCCTGTGGAGCAGATCTTACTGCTTTTGCACCCAGAGCACAGTGCCCTGGCCCAGCTTCCCTACGATAGCCACCACCGCCACAGATCCCGATCTCCTCGTCACAGTTAAGAGGGGACACGGAGAATCAGGGAAGGGTTTCATGCTGAGGCCCTTCTCACAGCAGAGGATATGGGCTTAATACTCAAATTAGGAAGAGTGCTAAGCGGGGGTGTGGGGTGTGTGTGTGGGTAACGCCAAGGCTCCTAGAAGGGGTCTCTATTTCTATTTTGCTCACAGGACAGATGACCCCTCCCTAACTTCGGTTTTCCATCTGTGTCAGAGGTGCCTTCTGGCGCGGCAGTGAACTCGTCTTGAATTTGTAGCCAAGGCTTGCAGAGAGAGGCACTACGCCAAAAGGCTTGCACCCCTATATGCGACCCAGGCATGACGCCCCTCCATTTTACACCGAAATTCAAAAGCGGGCAGGGTGGAATCTTCTGGAAGGGGGCTAAGATGGGACTCAGGAGGCAGGGGTCGGTGTGGAAAGAGCAGATGGATTATTTTTTTTCTGCCCTAGCGAATGAGGAGTACCCCCCCCCGCCACCCCTCATGAACCTCCCACCTCACCCCCCCCGAAAGCGCGCATGCGCACTTAGGTGGCGGGAGAGTACTTAAGGCGCGGCCACCGCTGCTGCGGCAGTGCGCCCAACAGCGGACTCTGAGAGACCAGAGGACTTCAGCGAACCCTCGCTCTAGCCCACCCACCCACAACTCTCGGAACCATGGCGGCAGTGGCGGCAGCCTCGGCAGAACTGCTCATCATCGGCTGGTACATCTTTCGCGTGCTGCTGCAGGTAAGTGTGCCTGGGCTCCGGGTGGGAGATGGCTCACGATGCGCGCACCCTAAACCCGCGTCGCGATTGCCGCCTCCCGTACCCCATCCTATCCCGATTGCCGCGATCCCTGTCTACCCAAGTGCCGCGACGGCACTCCGCGCCCCTACCCGTTCCCTGCGGCCACCTCCTCGCGCAGACCCTTCCCAGTGCGCCCGCGCCCGGCTGGGAACAAAGACTTTGGGGCGCGGCGGTTGCCCGCTGCGGACATCACTGAGGCTTTTAGCGACCCAAGTGGTAAGGAAAACCCGCTACATCCAGACTCGACCCCAAGAGGGAGGCGGGGCACTTGTATGTTTCGAGACTGTACAGCACACATAACAAATTTTCCGCCTTAAAAATTTGCGCATTGCAGGGAAATTTTCTTTTTAAAATACATACAAATATATTTAAATATAGCATTTGTGGGGGTGGGATGGAAAACACATCAACAAAGGCACTTCTCAGGAAAAAAAAATAACTTTACAAAAACAATTCTACAAGTTCAAGTAAAAGTAATTAAGAGGAAAAAAAGAGAAAACCGCGCATTGCAGGAAAAAAGACATAAGACAAAAGCACTTCGTAAAAACGCATTAGCTAAAAAGCGCATTGCAGAAAAAATCAGACAAAGGAACTAACAGAAAAAAATGAATTGGACAAAAACAATTAGAGGAAAAAGCCCTTCGCAGGAAAAATGGAAGGGGAAAAAGTACTTCCAAAAAAGGACAAATCACTTTATGGAAAAAAAAAAAAAGGCAAAGTGCTTTGCATAAAAATAAATCAGAAGAAAGCGCTCTGCCCATAAAATCATTTACCCTAAAAGCTCCCTTTGCAGGAAAAATTTCCTGCTAAAGGAATCCTTTGCCAAAGGAATCGCATATTTCCTTCAAGGTGTTCCTGGAATGCTGCATTTACTGGGTAGGATTCGCTTTTCGAAATCCTCCAGGGACCCAGCCCATTGCGAGAAGTGAGGTATACCTAAGTTGTGGGTCCAATCAGCTTGCCGCCATGCAGCTCTCAGCACAGTTGGAAAAGCTCCAGCTGCCCTGACTCGTGGACAAGCTGTGCCCGTGCCCGCCTCTCTGGCCTATGCTGGACAGGCGGGCGGGGCCAGGGGTAGGGAGGGGGCGGGCATGGCAGCACCACAGACAGGCTGCGGGTGCACTCCACTAAGGGCGGGTCCTGGGTCTCTTGCTGCAGGTGTTCAGGTACTCCCTGCAGAAGCTGGCATACACCGTGTCCCGGACCGGGCGGCAGGTGCTGGGGGAGCGCAGGCAGCGAGCCCCCAACTGAGGCCCCAGCTCCCAGCCCTGGGCGGCCGGATCATCCGATGCTCCTGTGCATCTCCACCAGCATGGGAGCCAGTGCCGCGCAGGAATGGGGGGTCCCCTGTGCTCCCTCGCCAGAGGAGCACTTGTCAAGGTCAGTGAGGGGCCGATAGGCTCCAGGAGAAGCAGCACCGGCATTGATGACAATACCAGATTCCTTTCCAGCCCCTTGGCACCGGTCCAACTGCCGGTCGGGTAGGGGGAGGAGGGGGGATAGGGGAGCAGGCCCCCAAGATCTGGGCATAGGCACCGCATTCTGATCTGGACCGAGTTGGAGAAACTCATCACCACCTGCAAGCCATGGCCATGCCAGCAGGCCCCAGCAGGGAAACCCAAGCACCACACAAGCCAGCAGAACAGACATTCCAACATCACCAGCGGAAGCCCTGAATCTCTGCAGCAGAGAAGCCACCAACTTCGTGCGCGTGTGGCGGGACTTGGAGGGCATGGGCAAGGACTGAGAAGGGTTAAGAAACTGAAGTGGGGCCCTCACTGTCCTTTGCCTCTGGCACGTGCATTCCACCCTGCTGCCTTTGCTCCCTCATTCTCCCTCTCCCCTCACTGCCTCCCAATCCCACTCCCCCCCCCCCCAAAATGTGTCACTTAATTCGGACCTATGCAACCAGTAAAAGAATCCCATCTTTACTAAAACACCTTCTCCAAGCCCCCGGCCCTCACTGACCTTGCCTTTCCCTGGTCTCACGCAATTGTGGTTAATAGTGTGATAATCGCTAATTGTACTGATTGTTTAAGTGTGCATTAGTTGTGTCTCCCCAGCTAGATTGTAAGCTCCTGGAGGACAGGGACCACCTCTACAAAAAATAAAAAACAGTACCTCTCCCATCTCGCATGTCCTAGGACCCTGCGGGGTGGTGGAGGCACACCAAAAACTTGTCTCTTGTGGCTTCTTTTGCGAGTGCAACACACACTTTTAAGAGTGGGCTGATGTGCCCATTGTGGAAAGGACACTGCTTGGGAGAGAAGAAAGGGGGAGGGGGAAACAAGATGGAAATAAACTGGGTCCCTCAATAAGCCCCATTTCAATAATGTCCTGAGATAAAGGACTATTTCCCCTCCCCCAAAAGGAAAGGTGACATATTCACTTGTCCTGGAATGAGGGCCCACTTTCTGCTCCCCACCACAGTGGGGGCTTCACTGTGGTCCTGAAATAAAAGGCCATGGCAGCTTATCACTTTTGGGAAAGATGAGAGGGTAATGAGGATTACTGGCACGATTTCAGAGCATAAATCCATACTCCAGGTCTCCAACCAGGAGCCTCAAGGAAATGAGCATTGGGCAGGATGGACACTGGCTTGGACAATGAGTATGGCACCTCCCTCACCCAGCTTAATGCTCCAGGTTCCATGACCACTCCAAGACCATCCTGCCTGGCCTTGCAACTCTCTAGTCACTCCACCCCCATCCTCTTTCCCCACTACAAGGCTCCCTGGTTTTCTCAGCATAAGCCTCCCTATCCCTAGGGACATTACTAGGTCCCTGACCCAGGCTATCCCCGACCATCACATCAGGAAGGCTGGGCTTGCTGCTCTGCTCGCACTCCTCAGTGAGTCAGGGCTCTTTTTATATGGGGTCAGTTGACTTGTCTCACCAAATGGCCCTGCCACCTGTTCCACCTCATCTTTGGCTTTATCTGTCCCTGTCACTACACAACCTGTTCCTGGGTCAACACCAAGGGAGAGTTAGAAGGCCATAAATCTCTTCATGCCACTTCCTGAAATCCCTTAGTCACAGCTGTCACAAACACCTCTGGAGTACAAAGCACCTCACCCCCTTGAACTTGACTGTGCTTCCTTCCCCAACATAAGCCCCTTAAACTTCTCAGCCCAATCATCAGACTCTAAAATCACCTACAACTTTATTCAGCATCAGAAAATTATGGGGGCAAGGGGTACAGGTCTTGATCTGGTCTTCGCAAGGCCAAGATTCACCTTTAGATCCAGTGAACCCCCATCTACTAGAAATGGTCTACCATAAAAGCAGTAGCCAGGACTCATCAGGACTGAGGGTGGGGAGGGGGTGGTGTACAATCCTGACACTCCACCTGCCTTAGCTGGGTGGCTACAGCTGCTACCATAGCCTGCAGGTGAGGCAGGTCTCCTCTTGCCTCAGGTTGACTCATCATCAGGCAATGCCCACACCTCCCTCCTGAAGCCCATGTTTTGGCAGGCCCCAAGACAGGAAGTTTCTGTGGATTTCCACACTAACCCCACAGAAGCGTGCCCATACTTTGACGTGTTCTCAGTGAATGCTGGCCTTCCCTCAGAGTCTTGGAGGGATTGGCACACCTTCCCACTGCCCCAGATTCTCTAACCTCAGCCCAAGTTAGTTGGCTCCAGGGTGGCAGGCCAAAGCAGCATGGGAGGGTCTGGCTGCTCTAGACAGACATCCTGTTGTCCTCCCCCATCCCCTCAAACGGCATAAGGCTGCTGGTAACCCCACGGCTTTCCAGATGATCTTGGTAAAGGCCCCTCTATCCATGGTCAGCAGGGCACTGAGTATGGCATGGTGAGATGACAGACTTCCAGGCAAAGGCTGCTCTTGTGGCCTGCACATAAAAGGTCCACTCCTCACTTTCAGCTCCCACACTCAAACCCTTCTGTTCTGGCAGCGAACTAAAGCCACCTGAGAAGACAGAAGGAATTCGTTCCCTTTCCATCCCAGTACAATACTACAAGTCTGGTCCAAACATACCTTGTTTATAAATGTTTTCCACAAGCTATATCATTAAAATACTTTATTCTCACAGAACAATGGGATGTTTTGTTTTATTGTAAAACTGTTAGAACACAGAGCTAAATGTCCCCTTTTCCTAAACTGTTGCCACACACCCCTTCCCAAGGCCAAGGACACAGCAGATGAATTGTGAGGCGATTGCAATGGCTTTATGGGACTCCAGCAACAGATGAGACTCTTGGGACTAGTGTCTGAGAAGGTTCTTCGTTTCCTAGCCCAACCAGCTTTAGTTGAGTTGGAGGTGGGGGTTAGGTACCACAACTCTCAGAGGTGTGGGGTACTAGGTGACAGTTACTTCTTTTTGTGGAGTATTTGAATTGTGATTGGAAGAAGGAATTTTTTTTTCAAGAGGCTGGGTAGAGACAAATTTCTTGAGCTTTGGCTGCAGGGCAATCCATATGGGCTGAATGGGGTAGCGAGCCATTTGCTTACATATCTATTTTTGGACTTATCTCCTCAGGAGCCAACACCCCAAAGGGAGATTCTGAGCTTGCAGTTAATTTCCCTTCTCCCTCCAGATTTAAATTTGTGTACACATGCACACAGATACAAGTCTAGTCTAACAAGCCTCTTTTTCCAGGGTGAGTGACCTCTTGACTTCCTCCCTAGGCCTGAGACACGTCACTCCCATCTTCTCTGGAAATGATCCCTTGTATCCCCCTCTTTCCCTCCCACAGGGTCCATACTCCAGCAGGATCCAGATTCCTGAGCATCCCCAGAGCTGGAAGTCAGAGAGGAAGAAACCACGTGGCTCTTGGGATGTCACATAGTGACAGGCTTGAAATGGAATGCGTGTGTTTCAAAGATAGAACAACAAAAAAGCCTAACCCAGATTCCTTTTTGAAACATATGACAGATAAAAGGATAAACTGGGCTTAGCAGCAACTCTAAGAAGACAAATTTCAGGTAGAGAATTGATCTGGTCACTGGAAACTGAGCAGGTTTCCAGCAACGGAATCTTTTTATCAGATTTGCTTGACATTAATTATCTCTGACTTAAAACAACAAGCAAGCACGATCTAACACTTGGCATCAGTGCTGTAAGCTGCAACTTTTTTGGTCCCGGCTTTGGAGTTGCCGTCCAGAAGGCTGACAGGATGGTTGGATCATGTCAGGCAGGGCAGAGAAGCCGTCCCAACACACCAGTTCCCTAAAAGGGATAAAAGACGATCGGAACCTAGAAACAGAAAAGCCGTTTCTTTTCTAGGACAGACTGCAGCTTCCCAACATTTACTGTTGAAAAGGGATCACGAAGGTCTGGAAAAAAAAACTATAGGAGATATAGAAGAAGGAAGGAAAGAGCAACTGCCCCCATCCCCCATTCTTCCTTTCCGGGGCATAAGTGTGACCGGCATTCCGTTCCTTCAGCTGCCCTTGAGGGGCCACTCCCCGCACATGGAAGAGAGGGAACGAGTGTCCAGACTTGATGTAAAGTTAGAGGGAATGAGAAGCGCCTGCGATCTGAAGCCAAGCGTCACCCTAGCACCCCAGACATCAAAGGGGGGCCCGGGGTCCTTTTCTTTCTTCTCTCCCACGCTCCTTCATATTGAAAAAAGCAACTAAGTGGCGGGGAAAGAATGACAGGCCCCTCACAAGCTGCCCCAACCCCCGGGAAACCCGAGCCAAAAGGTGGTGGTCGCCCCTCGCCCCCTCGTTCTGCCTGCCCCACCCAGGGAGGGCGCTGACCTTGGAGGCAAGAGCGAGAATCCATGAGTAGAGTGACCCACCTTCAGGCTGGGAAGGGACCTCCCCTCCCCCTAGGCCCAGGGCAATCACCTGACGTCGGACAGGGGCGTTCCCACCGCCAGGTGCGCGGGAGGAAAACCCTACAGAGGGACCCAGCAACGCCTAAGGTGACCCCGAAGGGACAACATGGCGGCGCGGCCGTACTAAAGGGCCTTTCATCCCGCTCCCAGCAGGCTGACCCCACGGTACCTGCAAGCCCTGCCATGGCGCCGCCGCCACTGTCCCCGTCGCTGCCGCAGCCTGCCTCCACCTCAGCTAGCCTCCGACGCCTCAGAAGCTGGGGAGACGCCCCCTTCGTCTTCTAGTCTAGCTGGCCAAAGACCCCTCCCAGGATCGGGCCGCCTATAATGGGCGCCTGATCACATGGCCCAAAGTGTGGTCACCCTTATCCGCTCTCCCCTCAGTATCAGTCACAGAAGACCCTTTGAAGCCTTTATACATAATTCTATGAAATTATAGGACACCGAGGTCTTCAAACCCGAAGACTTTTTAATCAGGCACAGCCTAGGCAGCCCCGAACCACGGACTTATGGTCCCCTCATGAATATGCAGCAGATTGTGGTCTTTACTCATTGAGAGCTGAGCGGGCGTAGCTCGCCAGCTAGCTGGTTTCCTGGCCTCAGCTTTCTGCCAGGTCCACGCACTCCGGAAAACTTTCCGGTGGCTCAAAGTCCTCCCTTTGCCCCGCCCCTTCATCGTGAGGAAGGATTCAGGCTCTGAACTTGTTCCCTGCTCCTCCCCTTACCCTGTACCTTGGGGCAAGCGAGCCACTTGCTCCTCCCGACCCTTGGTTTCCTCCTGTCTGTTGAAATGCTTACCCCACGGTTGCAGTGGGTGCCGAATGAGTCAGTGTCTCCATTTATTAGCCAATTAGGCACATTCCGTGAGCACCTACTATGTGCAAGCGCAGTGCAAGAGGCAAGGAGGTAGAGCGAGGGGCATGTTCGCAACCGACCTCAAGGCGCTGCGAGGCTAAAGGGCGAGAATGTTGGAGGAAGGGGGGAGGAAATCACTATATATTAATTATTTTAATAAAATCAATGCATAATTATGGATTATGAAGGAAAGTAAGGAGGGCTTATGAGAAATTAATGGAGTCCTAACGGGTCAAGGGTGAGGGCGAAGCATCCTTGGGCAGGTGGTTTTAGGCTAAGAAACCAAGGACCACTAGGATTTGTGTGGGGTAAAAGTGAAGGGGAGAGGGGCTGGGGGCGACGCTCAAGTGACTAACAAAAAAAAAAAAAAGTGAGTGAGTGGACTTGGTCTAGGCAGAAGGGACAATTTGTTCCAGATGTGGATGTAGGGAGGAGCACAGTGAGAGGCTAGCCAGGAATAGGACCAGAAGTGCTACACGGTGAATTTGGATTTTGTCTAGAGCGGGATAGGAAGCCATCTTTATCGGGAATAATATGGAATTTGGGCCTTTGCACCCTGGTACACATCTTGGAAGGTGTGGGTGTGGGAGGCCAGCAAGGAGGCTGGTGCCTCCTTGACACAAAGACAGTGGTGGCTGGGGGAGCTGGAGGAGAGGATGTAAGATTGGGGAGGGTGGGTGCTGAGGCATCTGCAGTTAACTGCTTCGGCCTTGAGCAAAGGAAGGGGTGAAAGAGACCTTGACCAAGGTGGAAGAGCAGACTGAGAAGTTTGACCTTGAGAAGTTGCATTTGATACACACAGGCGTCATGGAAGTGTGGAGGGTGAGAGGCAGTTTTCTGTGATGTGAATTCCAAAGGGGAGCTGACATCCCTCACTGCATGAATGATACATCGTGGTGCTGGATCCCCAGGTGGGGAGGGAGATAGAAAAGTGCGCAGAAGAAGAGGAACCAGGAAAGGAGGCTAAGAAGCAGGAGGACTTGGTGAGCCTGAGGTCCCAAGAAAAGGAAGAAGCATTCACTGGGGCTGACTGCTGTGGGCGACAGAAATGACATTATTAGGTTGGAAATGAGGAGGTTTTGACTAAAAAAAAAAAAAAAAAAAGAAACTAAAT